ACTCCCCCCCCCGTCAATGTACTCCCCCTAACGTCAATGTACTACCGCCCTGTTGATTGTGGCGGTTATGTAGATGACCAGGTCCCGTTGATACTTTGTTGTGGTTGGCCTAATGACTTGTATGCCTTCCTGTCTGCGTTGGAGGGGAATGGCGCATACAACGTGTTGGTGTTAAGCAGTAATGATGCGCCGTCTTGGGGCCGTTGGAACCGTGACTTGCGATCGTTTGGTCGCCGTTGTGTTTGGATGCATGGTAGTCCTCTGAGTTTAGAAGATTTGAAGAATGCAGGTGCTTTATTGGCGTATGGTATTGTGATATTTTCACAAGCACACGCGTTTGTAGCTCCAGGGGAGCCGCCTTTATCGACGAGTGCTGACCACCAGACGGTGTTAGTTCGGCAGCAACTGTTTGCATTATTTGCACGCGTAGATGAGTACCTACGGACTTCTGGTGAGTCGCCAGTGCTGGGTGCCGCGTCGGAGGAGGAGTCGGAGGCGCAGGTGCCGGTGTTGAAGATGCCTTGGGTTGTGACAGAGTTGCAGGAACGTGACAGTGTAGAGTATCTGTCCAGTTCTCAGGATGTGTTTCTTATCAGCGCACTCCGCTCGATCGCCACCCGAAAAGAGATCGGACAAATCGTACCAAAAAATGCCAGCGAACGAGGCGAAGATGCCAACTGGTTGCGCGAAGGCGGTCGCGCGACCGATACAAACGGTGGTGAAGCAGCACTTAAGTTCCAATTCAACCGTTCGGCGCTCGACTCCTCACCGTACGTTGTGCAAAGTGAATATCGCTCTGGTCGTGTGTACTTGCGTGAGATGGGGTATGCACTCATCGGTTTCGGTCTCCCCGTTAGCCGTCACAGCATGGACAGTAATTTGATTGAACACGCGGTGGATGGCTCGTGTTCGCCCGTGTGCGAAATCGTATCGAAGGTCGAACTCAAGCACCAACGGCTACAACGATACAGACTCAAATCACCCGTTCAACTCATCAATATACCTAAGATGTTCCATAACGTGCCCTTCAAGGAAGCCTTCAGTTACTTCGTAAAATTCGAGAATAAATTACCCATCGGCGTCCTTCGCACACTAATCCCAGCTGACGACCCAGACAATCACGCCAGCAGCGGTGGACCCTCCGAAATCGTCATATCCTGCCCAAGCCCCGTCTTCCAACTCATCCGCTCAGACAGACTCTACGTCATCCTCCCAACACCGAAATACGTTCTTGGCATGCTCCTCACCGACAACCCCCACTAGAAACAGGAAGAAGAAGGGGCCACCAGGAAGGGGCCACCAGGAGGAGGAATGATAAAGGAGACATGGACCACGAGGAGACTTCCACGAGGAGGACTTCTGCCAGGAGTGAACGAAACTGACGATGTTACGGACGACGTTACGGACGACGTTACGGATCCACTAGATAGTATAGTGTCGATCGTTGCGAGGCGATCCCCGAACGTAATCTGCAAGGCAAATGTCACAGGCAAGGGGTGGGCCACAGATCACAGGGCGGGGAGGTCCGCAAACGCACGGCAGGGGAAGATAGGTACGTCGGTCGGGAGGGAATCGTACTATTGCCTGGTAGAAGATTATAACTGATGTATGGCGCTTTCCTAAGAACAATTCCAGACACCTGGAAATACAAATAGAAGCATATCATACCACTCATCACCGCAAGGGGAAGCAACACTCTCCTGTACTTATTCTTCGGATTCATAGCAACAGCCACGAAATACAACAGGAAGGAAATGGCAATATCTACAACAGAGCAAGTCGCTCAGAGCAAGTCGCTCCTGGGAAAGGTAGGTTAGATAGTTTGGGAGAGGGGGGGCGAGGTAGGTGGGGCCTACTTAGAAAAGCTAGACCCATGCCTTCACCTAGGAATTGGAATCGGGCCTGAGGATGGATATACACTCGGTTTCCATACTGGTCGAGCCCAAACAGCCTCCAGCTATTGTTTTGCCAGTTGTAGATTATCCCACTGGTTGACGCCCAGAATATGGTCTATAATAATGGCGTTTGTGTGCAGACACACACACACGTTCAGAAATTAAGATGTGCAGTATGTGTACCCGTACCAAAGCTGGGACTGCGACCATCCACATATGTTTGATTAGGACTTTTGTGATGGTAGGAAGCAATGGTAGTGATATGACGGCCACTGTTGCGAGGGTTCCGAGAAGTCTTTGTTTGGTAATAAGAGGTGGTTTATAGAAGTGTTTCGTCCACAGGTCATCTCGTCCAAGCTTGTGTAAAACAGCTTTTATAAGTACGGCATCGTCAATGCTTTCAGTCCTGGGTAGAATATCCTGAGCTGTATGTTTACAGAACCCGGAACCAGGACACTTCAAGTTATTGTGGTTCAGTATATAAACATGTGGAATGTCGTTGAGGTACAATACATCTCTGTACCGCAACACGTCGAGGACGCCGAACACAACCGTGCGCCCCTTATCATCTATCACGGTTACATCCAGTGCATCCTCACGACTCAGCTTTCCTACTGCCTTCTCCAGAGCATGAATACAACTCGTGCAGAATTCACAACGTGGAGTATCACTCGCTGTTGCCAGTAGAACTAAAGTCCAGTCATCCTTCTTCCTTTCAGAATATTCTTTAAGAACACGCCGATCAATAGGTATAGTTCCAGCTTGCGAATCTTTCTTCAACCTCCGGTCGGATCTAGCCACTCCAGCAACCAACAACCCTAACACCACTGCTGCCCATTTCATTTAAAAAATCTCCCTGCCCTGAACCCATAAGACTCCTAAACCAACTAGAGTGCTTCATACTAAGCCCATCAGAGTGCTAAGTCTACTCTATGCATTTGGTTGTTGATTCCTCAAGCTTTATTGAAGCTGACCCACTCGGGGATGAATTATGTGGTCACATGATTCGTCTGTTTGAAATACTTGAAATGCCTATTGTGACCTTGGGCAAGCTAAGTGGGGAAAGCTCGGCCAAGTATCAAGATGATTATGGCGAGTGTCTTCAAGGTGTTTGCAATCACTTGAATAAACATGGAACCAGAGAAATGCTGTATCTGAGCCATGATATACCGCGTCAAGATTCCAAGTTATTTCAGGTCATGAAAGATTTCTGGACCAATTGGGACGTCTACTTATTAGGAGACTTTATTTCCGCCGAGCTGTACGCTGACGCTACCTCAGAAACAACTCGCAGGCAGCACCTCATCTTAACTAGCGCTGTATCACTACCGTTCGAAATTTTGTACACGGCTCTTCATCCTAAGTTTTCGGATGTTAGCAAATTGATTGTGAAGCCTCTGATTGAGCTAAAACGGAAGCAATACTCACGTGAGGAGACACTCCAGAGTACCCTGAAGAGTGATAGAGACCTTGGGTTTGTAGATTCCAAGACTACCATCCAGATTGATCCTTCCAAGTCACGTATTGCCCTTTTCGTGTGCGATGTGCAAGACAGAATACTGAAAGGTTTGAGCAACGTCAGTGAATCTGGTGTGAAGGAGCTGGTCGATCATATAGGAAATTGCATAACCTGGGCCCACAAAACACCGCGCATCGACTTGGTAGTGACCGCACAAATTCCAGAGAAGCTAGGACCGGTTAACTCCACGATACTGGAGGCCCTGAAACCCCCACCGGCCTCTGGCAAATCTACTACCGCAGTGGTGCCCAAAACGTCCTTCAGTGCGGGAAAATATTTAGCCGACTACGACACCGTTATTATCACCGGGATCGAGACGCACATCTGCATTCTGTTAACTGCATTGGAACTGACCGGTAACCAGCAGGCTATTGTCGTAAGGAACGCCATTGCCAGCAGCACACCATTCGACGACTGGATTGCACTGCTGAGACTAGGTAAACGGCCCAACGTGAGGGTTATAGAGTCCGTTGATCTCATAGAAATCTCGAAGTGAGCGCGGCGCGCGCTGGGCGCTGTCGGTACCGTGGGTCGGTACCGTGGGTGGGCGCTTCGGCAGGGGCAGCGTGGCGCTGGGGATTGAGTGAAGGTTTTTTTGCCTTGTTGGAAAAAAAAGAACATGGAAGCGAGTGTGTCGATAGTCACGTTGGAGTCGGTGGCGCCGAAGCAGAGGGGAAGTTATGGGTCTCGTGCGAGTGTGCGAGTGTCCCTATGGAACTACCCGTCGTGGATTGCGTATCTGATGGCGCTGTTTACGATCTGTGCAGGAGTGTTCAGTTCGACTACCTCGACGTGGATGAACAAGCAGAACGCGCCTTCCTGTAGCGGTTGCGAGCCGGAGCCGTTCGTGGGTGCTATGTTACAAACGCAGCAGATGTTCATTGCCGAGTGCATTGCGTTAATTGTGTGGTTGATCGATAACTACTTTTCGGGTCGAGCAAAGAAAGCCCCGCTCTTCGAGTTCGTGACAGACAAGATTGAGTTGACCGGACCCACGGGCCGGTGGTGGTTTTGGCCTTGCTGCGCGGTTTGCGACTTTGCTGCGACCCTCATGATCAACCACGCGTACCAGTACACGTTTGCGGCGACTGTGGAGATGTTGCGGAATTTCATGGTGGTGATGGCGGCGGTGTTCCAGGTGGTGCTGATCCGAAAGTCCGTCACGGTGCACCAATGGTTGGGAGTCCTGAGTATCACTGTGGCGATGATCCTGACAGCAATACCAGCTATCATAAGCCCCGACGACAGTTTGCACGATGCTAGCGCAACTCGTACGGTCATCGGAGTCGCGCTGGCCGTGGCCGGCACGACCGTGCAGGCGTTCCAACTCTTGGTCGAGGAGTGGCTCTTCCGAAAGGGAAGATACCCCCCACTCAAGGCCGTGGGCTTGGAAGGCATTACCGGAATGATCCTCACTTGCATTGCCTGGCCAATTTATCAAAACACAGGAGCCGAAGACATCACTGGCTCGTGGTACCAATTGTTCCACAACAGGACACTTATTGGAGTGACTCTGGGTTACCTGCCTTGTGGGACAATATTCAATATTTGTGGATTAGGTACGACGAAGCTTGCTGGTGGCTTGCTACGAGGTGTGTGCTTCGCAGTTAGGGCTCCGTTGGTCTGGTTGGTAAGTATGATTGTTAAGTGGCAGTCATACGATAATTATTCACTCGCTTCGGCGATTGTATTCGCATTGGGCTTTACAGTCTATTGCAACTTCTATGGACTCCTCGGAGACCAGGAGAAGTACCTCTGGCTAAGAAAGCCGGTTCCCTGCTTCTGCACCAAACCGGAGCTTGATGATCCGCCTTTCGGGCCCGAACGGCCTCTCTACGACGAAGAGTACGACCGAGACTACGATCAAGGCGATGAGGACGACGATGATGCTCATCCTGAACAACAGAATCTTGTTTAAAACGCCATTTGTCTTGGCCGAAAAAAGGCCCCGGGCTTTACGTTAATTATGTTTCATTTCAATCTTTCAGAACTGAACTACGCTTTGGTGGAGGTAGTCCGGACATGGATTGCTTCCCGCTAATACGGACATTCGGAGTTTGGAGATAATTATTTACACCGATGTGCGCAACCAGAGCAGTTGAGAAACAAGACCACTCCAGCCAACAGAGGAACACATACAGGAAATATGTGTGACAAGAATTGTGTTGGACATGATTCTGGTTTTCTTCCGTTACTCGCGACACATCGGACGGCGATTTAGGTCAGATTGGTACATAGAGCATGCATGCGCTCGGTGTTAAATCTGACCTGGTAAAAAAATATACCGCAATTCTGGCTCGTCTGCGATTCGAACCCTTGCTTGCTCCTTTGCACTAGGCATCCTACTTGCTCACCCTACAACCCTACCAAACCTCCCCTTCTACCCATGTCAATTGATGCTACCCCGACTACAACCCCTAGCGAGAGCGAAGCTGCGTCTCAACTACGCGAAGACCTGCTTAGCCGAACACGTTTATAGTAGTAAGATGTCTTAGAGCAAGAAGCGGGGGTGGAGAAACTTGCAAGTACTTTTTTGATCTATACGATTATTATTTTGCCAGGTCTTTGCTGTAAAAAATATGTTACTGAAGGGCACACAAGTGGGCACTGCTAAAGTCTTCCCTCACATACGGGCATTGTCCTCATCGCCTGCAGATCATCTGGCTACGGCTACCAGTGTTGACGGTCGCCAGGAGTCGGTATCCAAGTCTATAAAGCACAAGTCGAACCCGGCCAACGGAAAATCGGATATACGTCATATCGTGAAGATAAAGAGGTCTGTGGAGCGGAAGCCACGATGGGTCTTTTTAACGGGAAGAGATATTCAGCAGAAAGCTGCGGCGAAGGAGTACGGTCGGCTAGAAGAGGTCGAGGTTAACCATCTGGAGGCCTTGCGCTACATCGGAGGCTTCCTGTGGCCTGACGACTGGAGGAGTCGATTGGAGACACTGGGATCTTTCGCAGCCACAATGAGTGGTCGGTATTTCCAGAGCTTAGCGCCGACGTACATTTCCAAGTTGACGGATATGTTGGCCGATAGCAAGGTACTGCTGGAAGGTGACAGCGAAGATTGGGCAGAGATACTCCGTACGGTCCTTTTATTTGGTGGCTGCCGTCTCTTGGCCTTGGGTTCTCGCGAGATGCGGAACATATTGTACAGTCATGTAATCAAGAAGGCTAATACGCGTATGGCCTCTGAAATGTTCCAGGTGCTACAAGATACCGATTTGGACTTTTTGCTGAGGAATCGCCCAGGGGAACTGACGAGCAACGTAATCGGGTCCAGCCGGGCGCTAGGGGGTTTGCTAAGCAACATGAATCACCGGGCGGTCCCGATGTACATGGACATCACATCTCTTACGGGCAAATTCCGGAAAATAAAGCGTAATGACTTGTCAAGTTTGGCCAAGTCGACTTTGGCGATTTACTTTTTGTTCTCGTGCGTCTACGGCGACGTCCGGGTGCGGGAGCGTTTGCGGATGAACCGGGCGGACAACGTTCTCCGGGGCAGCATGCTGGAGTCGCTGCAGAACGGAGAGTGTGTTCGCGCCTTGCACACAGGTCGCAGGGAATTATTCAAGTTCGCTAGACGGTACGACGACTACGAGGCGTCCAAGACTCATGTAAGCCACTCGCTGGCGACCATGAATGTGGGGCAACAGCTCATTATACGGACCGCCATCACTTTAGCCATGCTCCGTACGGCCGACCGCATCTTTAAGGGTGAAGCCAAGTCGGGAGAACTTTCTATGGTAATGCATATGTTCGACGGCTTAGTGCACCCACTTAACTATGTGGGCACAATGTACAGAGAGTTCAAGGCGAACTATCAAGAGATCGTCCAAGGACTCAAGCTGCTCAAAATACGGACAGTACGAGACGCACCTAATGCCAAACCTCTCGTCATTAACAGAGGCAGCATCCAGTTACGTAACACCTCCTTCCGGTACCCCGGCGCTGCAACGGTCCCTGGTGCTGCCACGGTGCAGAAGGATGTGTTACGGAACATAAATTTATCCATTGCGGGCAAGTCAAAGGTAGCGATTGTGGGTCCTTCCGGTAGCGGAAAGAGCACGTTGCTGCGACTCATTTTGAGACTGTACTCGCCTCAGACGGGTACGGTCGGCATCTGCGGCCAAGACATAAGCCAAGTCACACTCAAATCGCTGCGGACGGCGATTGCGCTCGTGCCGCAGGATGTATTGCTGTTCAACACCACGCTCCGTGAAAACCTGCTGTACGGGTCAGAGACCGTCCCCGAGACAGGTGGGACCTCCATCTCCGACGAGCGGCTCATGGACGTCATTCGTCTCTGCGGGCTAGAGGAACTCGTAAATAAAATCTCGCTCGATGGAATCGTAGGAGAACGTGGACAGGCACTCAGCGGCGGCGAACGACGCCGGGTCGGTGTCGCTCGCGCCATGCTCCGAGACGCACCCATTGTACTTCTCGATGAACCCACTAGCGGCCTCGACGCACACAATCAAATCCTTGTCATGCAGGCCATAGGCAAACTCGCCAACGATCGAACCATCATCATGGTTGCGCACAAACTCCAAACTGTCACCGACGCTGACGAAATCGTCTACATCGAGGACGGCATGATCAAGGAACGAGGCACGCATGACCAACTTCTCAGCAGACCCGTCGGCAAATACAACGCCATGTGGAAACTGCAGGAGTCCGGCCTCGACGCGCCCGAAAACGCCTCCACCGCACCCTCCGACGACGCAACAACCGTTCGCTCCAGCTGCAGCAGCTCGGGCGCCTGCTGCCACGACTGAGTCCCATTTTTGGTAAAACGAATCCTGGCTCGAATCCTTGCCGAAAAAGTCATCTAAACGCGGAAGAAAAGTCGTAACTGACCGACTCCGACTCCTAGCCGACCGACTCGGTCGAGTCACCAGGACCATGTAGGGGTTAGGCCGAGCCCTGTGTGGTCCAAGTCCTCCAGAGTCGGACCGACTCAGTGGATGATTTCCAAAATGGACTTGATGGTGGTCCGCATGTCCGCCAGGAGGAGGATATATTGTATGCATTCGAAGGTGGGCCGGATACGTGGGTCCAGTGCCGACAGGTCCTCCGGATTTTTGGCCGCGTTCCTGTGCTGGCCCTTGGGCACCAGCGCGCCGTCGGGGAGTTGTCGGAGCGACTTGAGGATGACAGCACCCTCTACCTCGTCCACCTTGGCGATGTCCGGCGTGCTCGCCAAGACCACAAGCAGCGTCTTGAGTGTCTCCAGAATCGCTTCTGGGTTCGCGTCTGCCCGCTCCTGCACGGCGATCTCGTGGAGACAGATACGCAGCAGCCGGCACACGACTGGAATGAGTCCGTGTACTACCCGCTCGGGGTCCCTCTCGGGGTTTTGTTCGGAAATAGCCTCGTTCACCGCGCTCTCGCCATCCTTGCCGGCCGACTCCTTGGCCGCCTTACTGGGCACCGCTTTGGTCGGCGGTGTAAAGTCGACCAGTCTGATGGACTGGAGCGGCTCATTGAGCTCCTCCATAACGTTGAGAATATGCCGTTTCAAGTCCCCAATAACCTGGTTGTTGCGGGGGCCGAGGAGTTTGTTCTTCACCAGATATTCGCGCGCCTTCACAAAGAGGTCGGCGAGGTAGCTGCTGAAGGGTATGGGGATCGGTTCGTAATGGCAGGAGACGAGCTGGAGGAGTGTCTTGCCGAGCACCTCGGGAATGTTCCGTGGTTCCGGAGGTCCCAGCTTCCGGAGCGGAATGGGGTAGCTACAGCAGGGGTAGACCTCAACGTAGTTTAGCGACAGTTCAGGGATCAACTGTAACTCGATTATCTCGTACCATGATTCCAACCCACGACATGGCACCAGACCCAGGTGGCTGGACATCGCCTGCATCGCCACCCGACGTTCCTTACGTGTGCCGAACGCTGTCATCACACTCAGCAACTGCGCGATCGACCGCCAAAGCTCCATCAAGCCATCAATGCGAACCCCCATCTTCGCAATTCGCCCATATGTCTCCTTAACCAATCTCGGTACCAACAGAGTTCCTTCCTCAAACACGTCCGTTCCACCACCACCAGAACTACCCCCGAGGCCACTGCCGCCGGTCACATTGCCACGACGCATGTCGCCGCCAGACAGTGAGGCCGCGTGCTCCTCCGGCTCAAAGAGACTGGTTGGTGGGTTCGGCAGCCGTTCACAGAAGAGTGGCCACATGCGCCAAGTGGCGTACATGTAGCACTGCACATACAGCCGCACAAATACCGCTGGCCACGTCACGTTAGTGATCACCGACATCCGCGGCGTTACCCCTTCGGTCTGACCCTTGCGCCGGTGCACAGAAAGCCAACGCCTTGCAGTCTTACCCGCGCGTTTCTGCGGCCCGCCCCGGCTCTCGCCGGACTGGGGCTGCTTCGCGACTGCTTCGTCCAACTCACTGCCCTCCGGAGAAGACGACTTAGCGCCAGTCTCCGCGACGGTACTGCTCCGTGCCTGCGGATCCGTGGTTGCACCGCTGTAGGCAATGCCAGTCTCGTCCGGCACTCGGTTGCCCTCGTCGCCCGCATTACCTCCTACGCTCCCTGGGTCCTCTTCCAAGATCGCCGCTTCGGCAGGGTCCGGGGGTACAATTTGCGGGTGATTCAGGAGTTGACCGAGCAGTTCCACGAAGGCGTGCGCTTGAAAGGCCTGCAAAAGGGCGCAGTTGGCCCGCGCCGTAACCTCCACCACCGCACGCGAGACCGCGTCGTCCCGGACAGCAGAGAGCGCCTTGTTCACTGCCATCGGCGACATCCGGTGCACGTACAGCATCACAATTATAGGCACCGCCGGGACCGGTCCGGCTCGTCGATCGAAACCAAGGTCGGCAAAGTCAACAGACCAGAAAGACGGCGTCTCGATCAGCGCGACCAGGTCATCCAGCGCGAAGGTCACGCCGCAGGACAGAGCCTCCTGACTCAACGAGCAAACCGCAAACATCAAACACGTCAACCTCGCCGCCACGTCCTTCGAACTCAACGTGCGCACACCCGGGTCGCACACCGTGCTCTCCGTGTCGCAAAGCGGCACCAGGTCCTGCGGTTTCAGCGTCTGCGCCGGCGTACCCATGGGCGGGGCCTGTCCACTTAGTGGCGGGGCCTGTCCACTAAGGGGCGGGGCATGTCCACTTAGGGGCGGGGCCTGTCCATCCGCTGCCAGCGCACTATCGAGTGGGGGCTCATGTTCATAGGCCACGAGCGCCGAGCTGGCCAGAGAGCTCGGAACGCTCGCCCCCAGAAGCTCCGGGGAACGCAGCAGTTCAGAGATGACTTGCAGCAAGTGCGCAACAAAGGTAGCGGGCGGGAACACCTGCAGCTTGGTTCCGGGCCGCGGGGGGGCGCTACTGGCGGAAACGCTGTTGGGCTGACACCCCAATGAGTGGCTCTGGGTGACTTGCGTTTCGAACGTCTGGTATAATTGGTTCATGTAGGGCAGCGCGGTCCACACCCGCTGTTCCACCAATACCAGCAACTGTGAGACCCGAACCAACGAAGACCGAACTGCTACGGCCAACTCCAAGCAATCCAGCAAGTAGCTGTCCGGCCTCAGGATCCGGGCGTGTTGCATGTCAGTGCTGATCCAGGTCAGAATGGGCGCGTAGTCACGCCGCATGTTGAAGCGGTGCTGACTGGAATTGAGGGAACTACGCGCAGAAGCCCAGCGGATTGTAGGAGCCTCCAGTAGGTTCGTTAGCGCAAGCACAATCGTGTCGCTCTCGTCATCCGCGTCCGCCAACGTGTATCGAAGCACGTTGCCGCCAGTCATAACCGCCAGCGCGTTCTCAAACCAACATGCTGCCTGCAGAAAGAATCGTCGAGCAGAGTAGACAGGACCGAGTTGATACCCGTGCGCGCAGAATCGCGCCTCGTCTGGTGCGCGCACACGTGTGTGCACAAGTGTGTGCACACGCGTGTGCTCGCTCACAAAAGGGCTATCTTACTGTTTGAGCCATGGATTTTTTGAGCGTAACGTCGGATATTCTGATCCACCGTCTCCAGCAAGCCCTGGCGGACTCCAAGGCTTCTTTATGTTCACTCAGAACAGAACGTCCGCTGTCGCCAGCGCCACCGTCCGAGCTGAGGACCATGGTTACGTTTGGGCTGTTGCCGGAGAGGGCTCCAACCACGACGTCCTCGTCGACTGGGACGTCTGTCCGACTCGCGAACAGCATCCCCGTAAGTCCGCCAAACCAGCCGCCGGCGTTCTTGCTGACTTTCTCAATCATCTCGTAATACCTCAAGTCCTTGTTACGCTCCCGATTGCCTTCGTCCTGAGGAGGCGGGCCCTCCCGGGGCAAGAGTCTAAACACTTCGCGAAGCAGCCAGGAATGATGGTCTTGGAAATCCTCTCGCATGAAGCGAGTCGCACTCAACCGGGGAGCCATGCCACATAAGCTAATCAGATCATTCAACTCCACAATCATGTTCAAAAATTGCTCATCTCGATGTAACAGACCTGCAGATCTTCTGAAGCTCTCTAACAGATAAGGCAAGGTTGCCTGGGTTCTACAGCAACAAACATTCACATTCACTATCGCGGTGAGGACAAATGGAAGGTGAGGACAACCGGGGTGTCTGACATTACTTGTAGCTGCAAACGGGGTGAATGAATTGCATCATATCAGCAAGCATGGCTAGAATGTAGTCCGCCTTTCCGAAGCGTGACCAAATTGAAATTAGATGGTAGAAGCATTCCAGCCCTTTCTCGAAGTAGACGAAATCCTTGCAATTGGACATGACTTGAATGTATGCGGTGTTCCAAAATTCACCTTCGGTCCACAATGTTTCGGCCAGCTCCAGGACGACGGCTTCGTCCTTCATTTCCCAGGCAGCATGGGTAAGCTCGGACTGTTGAAGCAAAGTGTGTACGTCTATGACGGGATGTTCTGTGGGATACAGTCCATCTTCTTCTATTTGCTTGTTGATAGCCAGGCCGTCCTCCTTTATTGTTTGGTAGACACTTCGCATATACAGCGCACTCAAGGTCGTCATGTCTTCTATCCGATATGTATTGGCCAGGAAGTTGTCTACACTCATCTTTGTCTTGGCATCTGGGTGGTGCAAGTCGGTGTTGAGCATTACAATGGCGAATGAAAGCAAGAAGACAACATCGGACGTGACGAAGACCGTTCTGCCGGAGCCGTTCTCATTCACCACCAGACGGGGCGTCCTTTCCTCGACGGTAAGGACAGGGTCGTTCGGATCTGTGCTAGGAGGGGTAATCGACTGTCCTGGTGCTATGTCTTGTTGCAAGAAATACTCCTTGCCGAAACGGTCCAAAATTCGGTCAATCATTTGCCCCTCGCCCGGCAGCTTGAAAGATCCCAGGAACATCCGCAAAGCACTGACCGCGGACACGCCGTTAAAATCGAACAGCCGTAAGAAGGCGTCCAACACCTGCTGGTGCCAGGGACCCTTCGAACCCAAGACCTCCCCAATTAAGGACAAATTAAGGCTTGGAGTAAGCAACAAAAATCGAGCCACAGCCGTAACGTCGTCCTCATCCCGAATCTTGCCAGCCCTAATCAAATGCTCGCTAATCTCCTTTGGTCCGGCCTGGTTAATGGCGTGCACTAGCTCTTCAGTCCGTCTTCTCTCTACTAAATTCTTTGCCGCTGACGAAAGGCAAGCACTCAAAGGCACGAGCTGCACTGACCCAGGTGACGGAGCATTCTCTCGCGGCGCAGTGGCAGACGACTGTCTTTCCGACTCCCACTGGCTGAGTATTAACGAAACGCATTCGGCAATCTTGCAGAGAATATCGAAGCCGGCTTTTTGAACGGCGCACACGCGTTTGTAAGACGAGCGCACTCGACCGCCGGCACCCCGACCACCTTGTTGAATGGCCAGCGACTTCCAAACACGAGTGGTATAGTGCTGCGGTTGTGCATCTTCGATAACGGGGCTGTCAGCCTGGCTGCGGCTCGCAGAAGCATCCTTCGGATCCCGAATTTCCTTCGGAGTGAATTCAGGCTCCGCATTTACGATTGCGGCTATTACGATTCTTCGGAGTATGGGAGTCCGCTGGAAGTTGCAGTCAAAGTTCTCGAAGATGGAAAGGATTCCTTGAGGTCCAATGGTCCCAAAAATCTGTAGGATCATTTTGCAAACCATCTCCTGCCTCTCCAACAAGTTTACAGATTTGGTCAAATATGTGCTTGGGTGCTGTCCATTCAAGTAGGTACCCACAGAGGTATCGCCACCCGTGAGGCCCTGTAGAAGCACATTTCTGACCGCAAACGTATTTATAAACATCTGGTAGTGAACTGGATTGTTAAGATCAGTGAGTAGAGGAATGAGGAACCTTAGTTGTGTCGCGAAAACATAGGCTGAGACGTCAACAGAGTTTTGCGTCTGCCAGACGACTGGAATGACGTACCGGTTTAGCAAATCCTTCAGCGGTCCATCAGACTTGAAATGTTCCGGTCCGACTGTGATGCTGTCATACAGCAACTGGTATCCGAGGTTGATCAACTGCTCTTCCCGACCTTTTACCAGCCTCTCATCGACCTCCTGGAGCAGTTCCAGTTTACTGTCTGCGCTGTCTATCCTCGATCCTCGGCTGACGTCCGACACCCTCTTACCAATAGGACCTTCTAACAATCTGGAGTCGGTCCCGATATTGGCCGCTGCATTTCGGGCATCGGTCATGGATGTTCGGCCGGCGGGGGCCTTCAGGTCTGTTGGAGGGGCGGGTTCAGCAGACCAATTTGATGAGGAAAGTACGGACGACGGATTGGAGCTCAAGCTTGCATTTAGTCCGCTGTTGTCAGTTAGTAGTCCAGCACCGGCGGTGGTGCCGGCTTCAACGACGCTGTTGGCTTTTGGTTGTTCCAAGAGTCCAGACCTTTCGCAGTGGTCGATAGAGTGTAGGTCATCCCCCGCAGTTTGCTGTTGCAGCCACGGCAGTTCTCCGACAGGCCGGCAGGGGTAAGAGGGTAGTCTCTGCTTGTTTAGTTTGAGGCCGGTGTTTAGTAAGCGAATAACATACTTGACGAATTGCAATCGAAGACTTTCCCAGGCAACAGGAGGATCTTGATGACTATCATCACTCTTGGACCCCCTCAGGGTCTGACTCCTCAGGGTCTGACTAAAAATTAGATGATATAGGGTTTTAATGACCAGTTCCGCTTCAACATCGTTAGACTGAATGAGTTCGTAATGACAAAGTTTGAAGTACCCCCACAAAATATCACTTGGTATATGAGTAGACATGGTGGGATTACTGATAAGGATTTTGATGAGTTGTACTTTCCTACGATTAACCCCTAGAGATACCTCACTGACCATGCAGCATCTTGCTATCTCGATAAATAGCTGCTCCTCTCGAATATCATTCAATAAAACTTTCTCTAGCGAATCCAAACATAGCAATCGTATGCTCTCGTCTATTTCCTCGTTATTCACATATAGACATAGCAGCTTAATTGCCTCCAACACTACACAGGCCGGAGCCGGGTCTGTTGTACCAAGTCGTTCCGCTAAGAGCGATATTCTTAGACTGCCGCCTGCATTACCACCTCCTCCATCACCGACAATTCGATTACCAGGCGCTGTTAATATATCTCTCCGAAAGCGCTGCCTTCTAGGATCAGTCAATTGACATACAGAATCTAGGTTGTGTAATTGCAACCGAAGCAACCTGGTTAATGACACCATAAAAAAATTGGCGGCGAACTACTCCGCTGGCGGTTTTCCTTGACACAACAACTAAGTGTGACAACTAAGCGTGATCTGTAGGGTCACACTGTCTGTAGGGTCAGACTGATCTGTAGGGTCAGACTTGCTTTATTCAAGAACCCAAACTTCCAGGGCCATTACATTAAAGTCCCCGTGCTTGTTCTGGATCACAGAAGGACACTTAAATCCACTAGACTCGTTCGCAGAGAACTGACCTTGGTACAAATCATGATCGATGTGCAATACTTGACTACAATGCAAGCACATAGACAACGTGCCAATCACGTTGAATCAAGCCAATTCGCGACCAAAATTAGTTCAAGGACGCGCGAATTAATAGGAGTCCGGAAGTATCATGCGGGAATGAACAATAGGAGGTGGGATGCTTACGGGTCGCCAAATATGATGGACTCTGTGACAATCATAATCCGTTTGCCAGGTCCTTGATGGTAATAGACCCTGGGTGTTCGATCCTTGGTGAGTCTAGCGATGAATGAATTTGAGAGGTCTACGGAGTCCATGACGCTCTTATAATCGGGTCGGAATGTGACAGGGGAATGAAGCACCACTATGTCACGGTCTTGGGTCAGTAGCGCGGCAATCATAGGCATCTCAAAGTACGGCCAGATAGCTCGGATGAGGGCATTGACTGAACACCCGTCGGTGGCAGTAGTAAACCGCAAATACGGGTCTAGAATTCGGAATTGATTGGGAAGCCAGCGCCAGATGCAGGTCCACATGTGGTCAGTGAGTATGTCGGAGACATTGTAGAGTCTGGGTCTATAGAAGCGGGGGATGGCAGTCTCCGTGAGGTAGGGAGTAGGTACGTCAGCGCTGGTATATTCATGTATGGGTTTCTTAGACTTGCGGATCCGTAGTTTAAAAGCGAGTTTGGTTAAGTCGTTCAGTAGGTCGGGATCGCAGGAGCGAAATTCTCTGAACAGCAGCACCTGATTGGCCTCGATGGCCGTAGTGCAAGCCATTAGACGGTCTTCAGCCATCATGAGCATGGCAATCGCATAACGTAAGAACACTTTCACTCCGTCGTAGAGAAACGCCATGTAAGCGCGTACCAAGAGATCGAACGGCAACAATCGACTAAAGCCGTCTTGCAAGCCTCTCGCCAACCATGCCGGCAGATCCACCCCAAGTTCCTCGAGGTGGACCACAAGTGCACTAAGGTGTTTTTCACTTATCGCCACCGCCTGCTTCACAAGCCGGACAAACTCAGACCTCCGCAGAGTCAGGAACGCTCGAGTGGTCTTATCTTTCTTCAGAATCTCCACAGACCGTTCCAAGACGTAAATCACCGTGGCCACCGCCTCTCCCTCACCAACGTAGTAAAGTAGTATGCACGTCAATGGTACCAGCACCGGCGCAAACTCCAACTGCGGGAAGTAACTACTCACCATCCACAAAATCTTTTTCGCCACATTCTGGCCTTCCGCTGTCAAGACCGACGCATACACTGTCGTCTCCTCAAACACGTGATTACTCACGTGCCCCGCGTCCACTCCCGTCATCGACATCAGCGACAAATACGTGCGCCGATTCGCGTCCATGCTGATCGAATGTAATTTACTTAACGTGCGACCCGCCACAAACGATCCAGGCAATCGAGACGACTGCGTCCCGTACTCACCTGCCCGGTACTCACGTGCCCGGTATTCACCCGCCACGAGGTCCACTACGCAGTCCGAAGACGGACCACACCCCCGCGTCGTCTCCGCATCCGATGGTCGCGGATTCGACGACCGCAGGTCCGAGGCCCGCGTGTCCCACTCCCGCGGGTCCGATCGCGGGTCCGCCGCCGCTCGCGCGCCCATGGGCGTGGTGCTGACCAAGGCGCCGACAGTCAGTCCCGACAGGAGCGGGCCGGAGCCTCCCATCTGCGCGCTGCCCTGGCCGCTGGCAAAGAGGTTGCTCGGTGCCGTCGTGACTAGGGGGGGCTCAGCCACAACTCCACCTGGGTGGATCCCGCTTGGGTGAATCCCGCTTGGGTGAATCCCGCTTGGGTGGATCCCGCTTGGGTGGATCCCGCTTGGGTGGGTGCCGTTGACTCCAGCCCCGCTTGGGTGGGTGCGATTGTGAGCGTGCGATGCCATTTTCTGGAGTTGGTTGTAGGAGCCGAGGTGTGTGAAGGACCCGATACGGGCGAAGGAACCGACGGTGGCGAGGGCCATGGCGGAGGGACGGGTGGTGTGCTGAACGAGTGCATCGGGCGTGGTTAAGAGTAACTGGGTGTCACTATCTGTTCGCGGAATGCCCCGGTGCCCTTCCAGCCCATCGCTAACGCGTCGGGGAACTCCGCCGCCGGGCGCTAAGCTACTGCCGCGCACATTGTAGCTTGACCGTAGCGGGCCCACAAAGGACCCCGTCGAGGCCATGGCCGTATGGTGGACCACCGCCCGACCAAGATCCACGTCGAAATCCAGTTTCTTCGCCTTCTGATGTAACTCCTTCTCCGCACCCAAAAAGCCATACGTAAAGGTCGGCAAGTCGCCCTCAATCCGCTCAGGCACCGAGCCCCCGAACACACGCTGCTGCAACTCCGCCAAGAATCGGTCCGAGTGGTAGTTGTTACTAACACCCAAATCCGCCGCGCGATGAATCACATACCGCTTGTACTCGTCAGGCACGCCTCTACACATAAGAAGTGTCTAAGCACACACCTCGTACTATATACGTGTGTGTCGCCGCCAGATGTTACCGTCGTATGGGGGTCTGAATAACCTCCTTTAAGTTGGGCACCCCGCCGTTCAGCAGGGTGTCAATGATGCTACTATTCCAATTATTGTATTCATCGTTCTATGGAAAGAAAGGGTGTGTAAAGAAAAGGGTGTGTAAAGAAAAGGGTGTGTGTAGAAGAGAGTGTGTGTAGAAGAGAGTGTGTGTAGACCCTAGGGCCGAGGTCTGAGTGTGTTCGGACACGCTGGCATAGATCCGCCGAGAGTCAGTGGGGGCTTTCGTGGGACAGTGTCGTACGTCGATCTCCGCGGTGCGGATGGCTATGTAGACTTCTTCTTTGACTAGCGGGCTGTACCCTTTTTGTTGAGCCAGGTAGTCTCTCACCAGGGTGACTCCAAGGGGTGTGTTCCGCGTTGTCGTATCGAAGGCGTCACGCTCGTCCGAGGAACTCTCTCCTCCGATGACGTCGATCTTTCCTCCACGGCGCCTACGCCGTCCACAGATCCAATATCGGTGCATAAAAACAATGCGGCGGTAACAGCGTCCTATGCGCCTCCGCAGACTCCGGTGCCTCCGTCTGACCGCTTGGGTATTCAGCGTCTGCGGGCTAATCGAAAGACCCATTAACCAATTTCCGAAAGCTCCTAGGGGGAAAGGGGGATCTAGCGCTGGGGTACAGAAATGAACGGAGCAGAGAAGTCCGGTCCAGTCCCAAAGAACAAGTTCGTATGGACCGGGTCGAATGGAGAGGGTGAACTGCAGTTTGTGGAGAGGATGATTGGAAGGGTTGAGGGGTGTATTATAAAGAGTGTTTGATTGCGGTTGTTGAGCCGCAGTGGGCAAGCTGGGACGGGCCAAATTCCAGGGATAAATTCGATGGAGGTGCCCCGGCCTCTGTTGGAGTGGGCGCACGTATTCAGGGACTATATACTCAAGGATATCTTGTACCAAGTGACGTCTGAACCCGCCGCGGCCGAGAAGAAGACAGGCGCCGAGGATGACTCCATTGGAGAGAGCTCGGTCGCTGACCACGGATTGGTCGTGGAAGAGGGGTTGGTCGTGGAAGAGGGTTTGGTCGCGGACGTGTGGAATCTGATGCACCTGCCTGTGCCGCTATTAAAATCCTTGCGCAAGTCGGTGCTAACGCTGAGCCGGCCGGAAGCCGTTCCGGCCAAGTTCTCGCGGTCTATTTACGAAGATTTGCTGCTGGACGAACGCGGTATGCTCCGCATTCGCCTGCAGTTCGGCTGGCCCGGGGCGCGCGCCAAATGCCCAAATTTCATCGCCTACTGGAAACTTCTCCACTCCGACCGACTCGACCCCGGCCTCTACCACTTGGTACACACCAAACCGCTTACCGGTACACACGTCCAGGCCTGCTGCATTGCCATTGCGGCAGTGAAATCGTTAGTAGTTAACCTTCTCCGAGCGAGGGCGGCGGAACTGGTGAACCCAGAGATGGTCGATGCAGCAGCGCCCTCCGCGGACTTTGCTGAGCTGAGTGGCCATCGACAACCACCGACGCAGCTGGAGGGATGCCGGGAGCATGGAACAGGGCAGACGGAGGAGTCATCACACCTCTCCAAGTCGCACCTCATCAAGTCGCAACTCACCAAGTCGCAGGGAAGGTTGATTATTGCGTCCATCAAACGCGAGGCGCAGAAGCTCCAAAGCTATCTCGCCGATCATGGCACCGCCGGTCAAGGAACGGAGTGGGAGCGGCGAGAGGAGGAGGGAAAGAAACCGATGGAGGTGAGTGAGGAAACCGTGCACGAGTGCGAGAGAGTCCTAGAAAAGTGTGTCAAGCAACTGTGTGCGGAAATGAAAGCGAAGGTGGGCCCAGCCATGAAGTATGTAAAGGGCTGGGTTCACGAAGAACGGCTGTTTGCGCGTCTCTGGCAGTTTGGGACGTTTCTAGGTGGCGTGCACTCTTTGTGCCAGCACGAACTGGATGTGGTGAGCGCGCAGGTGGTGCCCCCTTTGCCTGTTTGCGACCACCTTGCGGCGCTTGTGAACCGCATTGCGAGCAGCTACGAGTTGCAGAGCATCAGTGGGGACGGTAAAGAGGCGTTGTGTCGGCAACGTCTCGACTCGGAAGAGTCACTAAGGATAGCGCGAATTGCGGACCAGGCGCGCAGGATCGCGGCGATAAGAGTAAAGCAGTCGTCGACTCTGGTGTCATCGGCCGAGGTGTCGTCGACCGGGCTGTCGTCGAACGGGGAGGCATCGACCGGGGGGCAATCAGCGAAACCGGCTGCCACTGAGGCAACCAAGTCGCTGGTCGATCTGGAGATACACGACCGCCTGAGTTTGGTCGAAGACTGGATTGACAGTCCTTGGAGAGAGCATATCCGGACTACCTCCCGGGCCGCCAAGTTATACTACTGGCAGACCAAAGCGGCTACTGCTCGTAATTGGGACGTAGAGACGCTCAGTTTAGATACGGAAGGGTTCGACGCCAATTATGGCCTGCCCTTGTGTCTGGCTTCCGACATTTATGCCGTCAAAAACCAACTGGGCTACCCGCTGTTCCGAGAGGAGATGCTGCTGTCCAAGTATATCTATGCTTATGAGAAGTGCGAACACCGCCTCTGGATTGTGCGCCAGTGCCGCTTCAAGTTCGTCTTTGACCACGGTCTGGCCAACATGGGCTCCGAACCAGGAACAGATCAGGCGACTGAACCTGGCACGGACCAGATGACCGAAGGAAGCACTGACCTACACTCCGAGGCCTCCATCAGACCCATCATTGATAACGGGACCGAGCACCGATGCCTGTCCATAAACGCCCGACGCTCCACTGCCTCACTTAAGAAGCAAGCGAACTTACTGACGGCCGAAAACCGAGGCGAGAACCGAGGCGAGAACCGAGGCGAGAACCGAGGCGAGAACCGAGGCGAGAACCGGGGCGAGAACCGGGGCGAGAACCGAGGCGAGAACCGAGGCGAGAACCAAGGCGAGGATCAAGGCGAGGATCAAGGCGAGGATCAAGGCGAGGATCAAGGCGAGGATCAAGGCGAGGATCAAGGCGAGGATCAAGGCGAGGATCAAGGCGAGGATCAAGGCGAGGATCAGGGCGAGGATCAGGGCGAGAACCGAGACGAGAAACGAGACGAGGGCCGATCCACCGAACCGAAAGGCCGCCTGAAAGTGAAGACGCGTCCCCACAACAAACGTCGTGGCGGGGAACATTTTGACAAAAAAGAGAATCATCACAATGCTACCAAGAGGAGTAAGCGAAACCACACTTCAGTGCACACGCCGTCAGACACATAGGCAAATACACAGGCAAGCCATCAACGTGAGGACATGACAACCAATTGAAGAGGCAGATTGATTTCCTTCAGGTCTTGACGTAGATAGTAGTTTGAGTAGAAGTCACCACACTCCTTTGGCGTCGCGAGTGAAAAAACGAAGAGTCGTCTTGCAATCCTCGGAGGACGAACATGCTGAAGACACGGCTGCTGATGCACCCAGGCCTTTGGACGCCCCGCCTGGCCGTAGTAAAGGGCCGGAGGAGGGAGAAGATAAAATGGTGCAACAACTCATTCGGCAAGACTCTGACCCGCCGCTCTCGTTTGCACTGACGACAGGGATCACGAAGGCGACTCACCTAGGTGACTTACCAGGCCAAAAGTCATCGTCTGGCTCGGAGGAAGCAGTCAGGTCGGAGGAAGCAGTCAGGTCGGAGGAAGCAGTCAGGTCGGAGGAAGCAGTCAGGTCGGAGGAAGCAGTGGGCTCCTCACCGGCCAGTTCGATGTCGAAGCGGAGGTTGAAGCGACCAGAGTATTGCCCGTTGCCGCATCCGGAGGAGGCGCCACGACCGCATATAAAGACATGTCCGGTGGAGCGGAGTCCGAAGCCGACCACGCCGGTTCGGACCCCGTCGAGGAGGCTGCAGTTGCCGGTGCCTGGGAGAGTCGACTCTCGCCCACAAAGCCGGGAGCAGCTCGCAGGGACAACCTCGTCGGAGAGGTCGTGGCCCAATGGGCTTAACGCCGCCGTCTCCTTTCCGCTGGACCGGACAGAGCCGGCTGTGCCAGACTCGATGGCGACAGCTGTATCCGACACGGCTGCGTCTGATGCGGCAGTTGTGTCCGACGCGGCGGTTGGGTCCGACGCCGCGGTTGTGTCCGACGGTCCGGCCCGGAGTTCCAAGAGACCGTACATGGCTTTGGAGGAGATGGCGCCGCGTACGGCTGCGAGTCGGAGCAGTCAGCCGTTGCGCGCGAGTCATAAGGCTGCGCTCGCAATTGCTTCGCTCACCGGACTCAATCGGTCGCGGTCTCCCGGAGTGAGACCCATCCGGCCCCACCTCAACTCCCCCCGGGCCGACTTCTCGCCCGAGGACCAGACTCTAGACCACTCCCCAAAAACCAATTTCGGAATAAGGGCGGTTTCTGGAACGAAAGCTATTTCTGGAACAAGGGCGACCGCCGCCGGAGAGAAGGCTGCCCCTGGGACCAGGACCGTTCCCGGGACAATGGCCGCGCCCGTGGCTGGGCGGCAGTCGAGTCCGGTGCCCCTAGTGCACAGAGTAATCGTGGCGAAGACTGCAGGGCCCAAGGCCGTCCCCCGACGACCGCTGCTGAAGGGTCCCTCTGGTCCCGGAGCGGGGAGCGGAAGCCAACCGTCGAAACGGCGACCGATCGTGACTGCCGCCTTCCGACCTCCCACCGCTCCAAAGCCGTCCGGGGTTCGGTCGCTCTCAAGCCTCACGAAGCGGCTGGCCGAACACAAAACCGATCTCTCGCCTGTGCCCAGGAAAAAGAAACCAGAAGACCAACGGCGCGAGGCGGGGACCAGTGAAGACCAACCCGAAGCGTCTGGGGCGGCCGAAGCTGCGGGGAATGCCGCTATAGCGAATGTCGCTGCAACAAGTCCCGACGCGGCGAACGGCGAAAAGGCGAAGAATCAAGATAGAGCGGAGGGAGCTAAAGCAGGAGGGTGCGGTGAGCCTAAGGGCCTGAACCTCGGTGATGGTTCCTCCCAGGACACCCAGAGCGATGCTCAGCTCAGGCCGCCATGGATGGTGGTGCCGCCGATCGTGCCGCCAGATGCACTGGTTGCTGCCCTGCCGGCTGGAATGGGGACCCCTATGTCCGTTGTGAGGCCGGGTTCAGAGGACTTGGTGGCAATGGATGTGGAGGAGGTGAAGGCTGCGTCTGTATTCGGTTTTTCGCCAGGGTCGCATCGCATGTCTCCGCCTTTGAGTCCGGTGGATTCCGGGGGTCAGGAGGCGGTGGCTGAAGGCGTGTTGGAGCGACGGCGACGTCTGACGAAGAAGATGCCGGAGCAGCGGAAAGCGGAGCAGCGGAAAGCGGAGCAGCGGAAAGCGGAGCAGCGGAGGGAGGCGCAGCGGAAGGCGGAGCAGCGGAGGGAGGAGCAGCGAAGGGAGGCGCAGCGGAAGGAGGAGCAGCGGAAGGAGGAGCAGAGTGAGGAGGAATATGACGTGGCGGCGGCGGCGAAGCGGCTGGATGAGGCCTCGTTGGACAAGGTGGAGGTGTATTACCGGAGCGGTAAGGACTGGGTGTGCGATGAAGGGTTTATGCGTGCACCGCGGAGTTGCATCGGTAAGGCGATCTACAGCATTTTCGCGTTGGGTATCCGTTGCGCCGACGAGGAGTATTTGGCGCAGTACTCGCCATCCGTGTTCTGGAACCTGCACCTGTTGGCTCAGGTCTACCAAATGAGCTTTCTGGAAAGCTTAGTACATTGTCTGGAAGCTTTCGAAAATGACAAAACTGAATTTACGGTTAGTAGCTTCCAACGTCGCGGCCGGCATAGCGTGGAGGAATTTAGAGGCGGCCTGGCCCACACCAGCGGCCGAACTAGTCGGCGCATCCGCAGGCTGTCTCTCATCCCCGTCAATCAACTGCCTGGCTACCTAGATCCGCGGGCCATCAAGACCACCGCCGGCGCCGAAACCACGGAGATTACTGGCGAGTCTAGCCAGCCGCCGAGCACAGATGGGCAAATGCCTCCCAGTACCTTGGAATCTGGACCAACCGACCCGGCAATCCCGAGCACCGATACACTTACGATCGGAGACGGCTCGACCGGGCCTGCTTCGGTTCCCGCGGTGGATGTGGAGCGACTAAAACAGCTGCAGGAATTGGAGTTGGAACGGCAGGCGCACCTGGACCGCGAGAAGTCCTACACTCTAGAGATATATAGGAAGACCATCCGGAGAACGGTGCTCTACTACTCAAAGCCAAGAGCCTTCCGCTACTTCGTGCCCAGTATTGTACGGCACAAACCCTGCAGCATTCCCGAGTGCAGTTTGCGGAGAGCGGCTTCGCGGCCTGGGACGCAAGCCGTGTCTCATGCAGCTGGAAGTAACAGCCTTTCGGCAGCCGGTCAAGGCACTCTTACCGGCAGCGAGAACGCTGGCGAGAATGGTGGCGAAAATGGTGGGGCTGAAGACAAGACTGTGGCTGGAGACAGCGGTGGAGATAAGGCTGGCAATGGCGTTGGGGCTGGTGACAGTAATGTTGGTAGCAGCGAGGCGGTTCTGGTTGCTGAGAACGAGGACGCTGTGGGCGCATTTTTGACTTACGGCGAGGGCGATGTGGTGATGGATTTCGATGAGGAAGGCGACTTGCTGTCGGCCGTGGGGGTCCTTGCTTTGTGCGAGAACATTGAGAATGTGAAGCACGGAGCGGACGTCGACAAGGTTTGTCATATGGATCCGGATCGGCGTGATGACTTGATGGTCGCCGCCAGAGTGGTAGTGTCTCATCCGCCCTCTCGTTTCCGGAAGGTGGAAAGATTGCTGCAGGCCAACATCCACTTCTACAAGTCGCTGCTAGTGGGCGTCCAAGGCTTTCCCGAAGCCAACTCTGGATTCATGGAGGAGATAATTGGAGAGCTGACTGCGGGTGTTAAAAGTATTGTCATGTTCGGCCAGACGGCTGCCGACTTCGCACTGGAAAGCGGACACAATGGAACCGGAGTGAGCGGCATGCATCATAGACGCAGGAACAAGGCCAGCTCTTCCGTTTTCGACCAAGATGGATTTCAGGTGCAGCAGTGTATGGCTCGAGACCGGCGGGAAAAGACATATTCAGACGCCTGCTCAAACGACTATACGGCCCCCGTTATCATCGCCACCAACGGGGACAAAGGCAGGGGCGTCTTTGCTGCAAGCACTATATACAAAGGCGATTTCGTCTGCGAGTACAAAGGAATGTTCTGCAAAACCTCGGCGCTTATCAAACAAAGAGAAGATCGCTGGGAACGACTACAAAGGGGAAGCTATATCTTCTGCTACAAAAGCCCAATCGATGGGCAACTCATTGGAATCGATGCCACAGAAGAAAACGTCGAATACGGCTGGGCAAGACTGGTTAACCACTCTCATCAACACCCTAACTTGGAAATCACTCTAATCAAGAACCTACGACCGACCAAGGATAACAATAGATACTTCTTGGCGTTTAGAGCCGCTCGGGACATTATGATGTGAGAAACACAACTGCTCCTCACCTGTGTGCGCACACGCGTGTGTGTGTATGTGCACACAAAATTCTACACTACCAAATTCTACACTTCCACCGTTGAGGAACAAGCTGGACTAGGACACACGCACGCTTCACATGGCACGCTTCACATGGCACGCTTCACATGGGTTTTTGCTTAGAGGTGAAGAGCTTCTGATTGACTACGGCGAGCGACGAAAGACGATTCTCGAGCGGAATCCGTGGTTGATCAACAGCTAAAAGTGTGTTCCTCCTGTTTTTTCCCTACTCGCATCGTTTTCGTCAGTTCCGTCGTTCTACCTTTGTCTCACTCCGAACGGAACATTAAATCCGAATGGGACACACAATCGAAAAGGGCGTTTGGAATGTGACACTCGCTGCGTGTAGAAAACATTATTTTTGATTATTGTAAAGATGAGAGTATTCGATACATTGAAGGAGGAGATGAATCTGGGTCGGTTTGATAAATTACGTGGGAGAGGTGGGAAGGCCGACGAGTCGTTGGACAGTTTTGGAAGGGCGGTAGAAGAATATAGTAGCGGGAAAGAGGTTAATGAGGAGGAGGACGACGATGGTATGAGTAAGTACTGGACGATTGCGGCGGCTGGAGCAGGTTTATTTTCTGATGGGTATGTGAACAACTCAGTTGGTTCAGTGAACACATTATTGGGTACGATATACGGAAGTGTGTATACAAACTCTGCGGCTGCATCGAATGTGTCTTCGATAGCTTTCGCAGGTACGGTGATTGGTCAGTTACTATTTGGTTACGTGGCTGACAATAATTCTCGTGAAGTTGGTATGATGGTGTCTACCGCGATTTTGATTGCCTTTACTATTTTGTGTGCTTGTGCTTGGGGTACAACACCTAGTGCTATGTTTACTGCTTTGACTATTTACCGTATGTTCCTGGGGATAGGAATTGGTGGTGAGTACCCGGCTGGATCGGTAGCATGTGCGGAAGCAAGTTCAATTCTTGGCAAGGGGAGAAGAAACAGATGGTTCATTTTCTTTACTCATACAATGATTGACTTAGGATGCGTGATCTCGGCTATTGTTCCTTTCATTATACTTTGTTGTTATGGCAAAGATAATCTCGCTCCCGTTTGGCGTATTACCTTAGGTGTTGGTGCGATTCCCCCTTGCCTCTTATTTGTATTGAGATTGAAGTTTAAAGAGAGCCCGAGATTTGCCAAATATAACATGAAGCATACAAGGTTCCCATACAAGCTCATTATCCGATTCTATGGTGCTAGATTGGCATGTGTTTCGGTGATGTGGTTCCTTTATGATTTCTCTTCCTATGCTTTTGGTATTTATTTCACTGAGATTTTGAACCTTCTCATTCCGGATGGCGACTTAAAAAGGACATTTGGCTGGAATATTTTGCTCAACTTCTTCTACCTGCCAGGCTCCTTACTGGGAGCCTTTGCGGCTGACTACATTGGCCCCAGACTAACATGCATTACCGGAGCTTTATTGCAAGCTATCATTGGCTTTGTCATGGCCGCTTGCTTCGACCAACTTCGCGGACAAATCGCGGCCTTCGTTATAATTTATGGTCTTTTCTTGACCTTGGGAGAATTTGGACCGGGAGACCAAATAGGCATATTCTGTTCGAAGTCATGTGCCACTCCCATTCGTGGACAGTATTATGGAGTCGCAGCCGCCGTGGGTAAGATCGGTGCGTATCTAGGAACCAAATTCTTCCCTGTTATTGTCGAACACGCAGGGGGCGCAGGCACTACATCTGGTAATCAGATGCCTTTTTGGATCGCATCTTCCTTGTGTGTTGTTACCGCCTTTTTAGCGCTCTTCTATGTACCTTCACTTACTCAAGACTCCATGACCGAGGAAGACACCCAGTTCATTCAATACCTCAAAGACAACGGGTTTGACACGACTAAACTCGGCAACGTGACTCCCATCTCAAGTACGACGCGACTCTTAAGCAGCCACTCGGCAGCCGCCTAGCACGCCGTTAACAGACACTCCGCGGCTTGCAGACACTCTGCTCAGCTCAACCACTAACCTCCATCGAAAGCCCCTCTTGGCCATCTCAAACTGTAGGCATCGATCTGTTTCTGCTGGGCTGTAGACTAGAGCAGTGAAGAGAAATAGTCACGTGAAACGCCGTCTACAAGATTGGACGAAGTCTTGCAACTACATGGAACTTCACGTTATAACCTGAGGAAAGACGTGACACAACCAAGAACATTTGGAACGGTGGCTGGCTCTGTAGTTAGTCCCCTAGTCGTTCCGGCTGGTCGGGGATGCTGGCCGGGGATGCCGACCAACACCCTTTTTTTCTCCAACAAGTTTTTGGTTCAGGCGATAGTTTCTAGTAAGGGCTGGCTCCACGGGGGAGGGAGGGGTCGTGCTTGGTTGGGTCTAACCAGAATGTCCCTGACCACACCATCCCTGACCACATCATCAAAGCGTTGATCAACACCACTGATCAACACCGAGTTAGGGGTAGGGGCTGATCAACACTGAGTTAGGGGTAGGGGCTGATCAACACCGAGTTAGGGGCGGGATGGTTTAGATCCAGGGTGACCATCCAAAATACATAAGGGCGAGGTTGAGTTTATCTCTGGCGGAAGCTATAAGGAGGTCCACGAAAACGTCTGAGGACAGTTTCCTGTGTGACCATACAGGCAGTATATCTGGTCGGGAACATTTGATTGCAATTTTGTACTTGTCGCTCTTAGGGTTTTGTTGGCATAGATGTGTATACGGACAACTGCAATTGAGCTTTCCCTGTAGTTTCCATTGCACCTGTTTCAGTAGTTCAAGTGTCGTCTCTCCATCCCATTCAACGGAAGGGTCAGAGACGAAGGACTGTAATATGGATAGGATATCCATGCAGAGCCTGTCATCTCCACGTGATCCTGCCATTGGGGTGTCCAGCGTGGACCAGGCACCCTGTCGCAGGCCTGTGCCTGTACCGATTGCTGCTCGGCCGATTGCTGCTCGGCCGACTGGTGCTCGGCCGACTGGTGCTCGGCCGACTGGTGCTCGAGGATGTGGTCCGGAGGAGCATGTGTAGGTCATGGCATCCATAATTTGAACCATAGTGTTTCGTAAGGCGTGGAATGAACATCCGCATACAGTTACAAGATTTGGAGTCAACCTAAATGGTACGATTTCTGGTATTTTCAATTTGGTCATGCCTTTGTCAAAAAGGCAATCGAAGTCCACATGTATAACTTGGCCGGTTATGCTCGACAGCAAAATATTTTCTGTATGTCGATCGCCCAAGCCCAGTATGTAGCCCAAGCAATTCCATACCGCGAGTGTGTGAATAAAATGTATTCGGGCAGTAATCCACATGGAAGCCGTGTGTCCAAACATTTTCAGATACCATTGATGCAGAACAGGAGGATTCTTCATCAATCCAATCTCGACATAGTTCCTCAAAACAATATGGTACTCACTTTGTTTCGGACGATCTCGAAATTGTAGCCTCACCTTCTCTGCGCCACCAGCTGCGCCAACTCCTGGTAGTGGTGTATGCGTGGTACAAGAACCGATTGAATCCTTTAGAGTTTGTGTCCCCGGGACCCACTCAATAAGCCCACTAAGTTCCTTCAAACAAAGAACGATGAAGGTAACGTTCTGTGTAATTTCGTTGGGAAGTCTCTCATTAATGAAATGCGCTAGCTCTTGAACACGTGCATCCTTGCGTATATCTCCGCGATTTTCGAACTTGAGTAGAATCTGATAAATGTTACCATCGCTACCAATCATGCTTATCTTCTTCGGCTTCTGCTTAGATCTAAATACCGTCATACGGTTATTTATACTATCTAACCAAATTTCGGAATTATGGTCAAAACCTGCGTTACTATTGGCACCCAGCTGATGCACAAGTGGCAAAGGAAACGAGGTGATTACTTTGCTAGGACTGGTATACATGCTGGCGATCGTGGAACATGTTCTGTTGATGAACTTTTGGCGCCAACATTGAATGTAGGTTTTCGGAACGACTTTGTTTAGCAACCACAAATTTTGACGACTTGGGACTAGAATGGTGCGATTAAAGTTGAAGTTGTATATGTTGGGGTATTGCAACTTCACGCTACAATCTCCTGGCATGGTTTTCATGTCCTCGGCCGCTTGAATTAATAGGTCAGTGAACTGCGTCATTTTTGACCACACATCGCCCACGCGTACTGTCGTACCTACGCTCGTCATGAGGTAATGCTCCAATGATACCCCGCTGACTGGTAGCCCTGAGACGGCGCCGGCTGACTGGCCTCCTTCACTTGAGAACCCACTGATTCCTTGCCCCATCAAAGCGTTGGTTGCTTGCGCACTACTTACCATTGCAGTCGTAGATATTGCTGTCGAACATAAGTCGGCCCGTGCTCGGGCCCTTGTAACCGGGGTTCTCAAGACTGGTCCTTGATCATCCGTCCGCTGCTCCGCTCCAATCAGTTTGCCAGCCTTGTTGGTGATAGTTGCTTTTGGCGTCTTCTTTAATATCATCTGCATAACGGCTACCGACTCCAGAATTGCTTTAGCAGCCCTTCTGAACGCCGGGCGCACGGAAGACCATAATTGGGCAATATACCACGTTGTTTGATGAGGTACCAGCATCAATAAGGAAGCTATCAAAGGCACACATATCGTCGGTCCCACAACGTCAACAGAGCAACGACAAACCAACTGTGGCAGAACACTAAACCAAACTCGGATCGGTACTTTCTGGATTAAATCATAATTCATCGAGCACAATCGACCCAGCAACTCCTTACGGACTATACAGAGCTCGTCAATGACGACCCGTGGCCGGCTCTTATGACTCCCAATTGGACTATGCGTTGCTAGCCCACACAGCAAACACAACCATCTTAAAATACAAGTCGAACTGATGGTATCATCTAAACTTGCACACACCAAATATTCCTCCAGACAGCGATTAAACAATTCGCATAGGGACACCTTGGTAACACTATTCAGGGGCGATTCCCATAACTCTAGTGCTGCTCGTTCTCTTTCGCCAAATCTATTTTCACCCAATTTCTGCTCCACTTCAGACCGCGAATGATCCACAGCTGTACCTCTAGACCTCTCATCCACCGTTCTTTCATACATCTCCTCATGTATAATGGAATACAATTTGTGCGCAAAATCGAGACGGAAGAAACAGTCGCTGGGATAGCTATCCACTGAGCTTATAATTTCGTAATAATTCTGGTCAACGTGATCTATTTTCTCTAGCGATCTAAAATCGAGGGATACAGAAGTAAGTTTTTTGAAGTCCTCGGACTGCTGAAAGTCATCAGTTGATAGAATACAATTATTTCCATTCAGCACACGCGTGTGATTAACAGAATTTTCAAGATCTTCATTTGTAATACTTATGTCTAAATCGAATATTTCTGAAACGCTCTGCACCAGCGATTTTAACAGATATGGCTTGCTCTCTTTCTCGGTATGAGCAGATATCCATTGACTAACTAATGTGTTTGAATTGAATTTTTGTTTAAGTAGGTCCAATCTTATTGACTCCAAAGGGACGCTAACCGCCGCACTCTGTCCAAGGCTTCCCAGTGCGTCAATTAGTCTCAATTGTTTACCCACTTTATATCGATTTTCTTTTGTATTGATGACATGATGTTGAGATAACGCTTGTCTATCATTCGCAAACGGGCAATTGCAAAGACAATCACACACGCACAGTTCACATCTATGGCATTGACGATGTCCGTCATCCCCGACAGCCGCGGCGACGACTTCTGCATCACAATCCATCAGTGTCCATCCTGCTCCCGAGTCCATCCTGGTTTGTTCATCATCAAGGATCCCGTCAGAATTTTGGTATCGGTGGCATAGGAGTTGACTTGGTAGTGTATAAACGGAATCCCATATACATACTATCCCGCTCCAGTCTTTCAGCTTGAGTATATTCTCAGCACATAATGTTCCGCACAATTGGGTCAGTCTTGATGTTTCGGCTTCATGCATTTTCCTATTATGGTTTGCTGGATCCTTCACGACCTTGAGTCTATCGTAAACGGAGTCGCAATAATTCTCTAGTGATGACAACCAGATTTCTTCGTAAGAGTTACTATTAGAAAGCATGGTACATGTTTCATATATTTGAATCACATCCTCGTTATCGTGCATGTAGATGTCGAGTTCCGGCGACTTGTCTATAAGTATGGCGGAAAGATATTATGACCATGTGGAGGTAGTACACGCGTGTGTTATATATATTAATACACGCGTGTGTTATATATATTAATACACGCGTGTGTTATATATACTAATATACGTGTGTTATGGAAATGAGGTTAGGTGGTGAGTGGGATTACTGTTTTTGAAGTCGGAGAAATATGTTGGAGGGAATGATGTGTAGAATCGTTGTGATAAATATTGTTCACAAAGTAATTGTGCTTTATGCTTGTAACCGTTTTCGATAGAAACATGAATCAATAGATGGATATCCTGTAGATCAAAGAAGGGGTGATGGGTTCCATAGGCATGTCTACATGCTTCAATAGCATCGATAATTATTGATTGTATTGTCTTTAAACTTTCGATAACGAATGAGGAGGATTTTTCTTCTGCTGTAAGACGAGTCTGGAGTATTTCTGTAAAGTACATATTAATTTTTTTTACAACAGGACCATCAGAGTTATGGTTTTCTTTAAGATATTGTAATAGTAGAGTAGTCAATACATGTTGATATATATGAGGTAGTAGTGTAAGACTATTGACAAACCCATTAATGATATGGTAACATCCGAGCTCTTTAGCCATACATAAAGTACACTCTTTTAAGATCTCGTAACAATGACCTACTTTGGCAACCTGATAAACCTGTTTGTATAGACGATTATTCAAACCGTCGATCTCATTTGAATTTATAATGTTCAAAATCTGGTTGTAAGCTGACATCGATGTGCTTGACATCGATGTGCTCGACATCGATGTGCTTGGCATCGATGTGCTCGATTCGCACAAAGCTTTCTTGATTTCATAGAATCCGGTAGCTACATGAATGAGATGAAGATTAGGTAAGAGATAGTCGGATAGTACCATAAGACAGACACCATAAATGTTAAAGTTAACCTCTCGAGAATACGCAAAGTTCTGAGAGTACCATGACTTTTCATTCTTCAATAATATCAATAGGTATTGAATTAATCTGTTTATCTTAACGCTTTGAATCTTTCGAGATCCCGGGCGACCATGCTTACTTATGTATGATATAATCTCATTAATCATACGACCACCACGGTTGGTAGTACTCGGTGTACCAATATGATCACATTCTAGCAAAGCGTAGATATCCGAATAATTCAACCCATCTATGTGCATTAAACAATGCAATGGGTCCATAGGAATACTCTTAAATTTGCTTTCTAATATGGTAGCCAGCATCGGCAACAATGATTCGTAACTTTTGATCATCTTGCCTGGCAGCTTACTTGCTTCCCCATTACCTATTCGCAGCACTATATCACCAAATGAATCTTTGCCAGAAGAACTATTGTCTACTAAAGTGCTATTGTCTAAAGTGCTATTGTCCAAAGTACTATTATCCAAAGTACTATTATCCCCATGTGATTTCTTGTTTACAGACTCAGGAGATATCAGCTTCCGTATTAAAGCCATAAGGATATACCTAGTTTCCTTATCTATTTTATAGATCCATAATAGCTTACAAATTAGAACCAAGCATTCATAGTCATAATGGTCCAATAAATAGTTCAGAAATAACGATATATAAAACCGTATTGTACCGGTCATTTCCAACGAATCATTCTTAACAATCACGTCATGACAATTGCTTAAAAGCCAATGATGCAGTGTAATAGATGGCGGCTTACAGAATAGCGTAATTATTAATCCAAATAGGTCATGATAACTAGCCGGA